TCATTTTAGGACTAAGTGGAAGGACCACTTACCCCTACCCTATCACCGGAACACTAATAATCCTAAACTTAGTGTGAAAGAGTACAATGCTGTGAAGTACATATTTGATCTTCCTCCTCCTTTTCTGGAATAGCTCTCTTAAAATCCTTGACTGTTCCAAATGGTAAGAGTGTATGCTAATGAAATTACTAGAGGCTTGGGGCCTCTAAGTAGCTTCAGGATGGGGCTGGTTGCGGTAAAGAACAAGGCATGATTACATGGTTGGGACTTTTGGCCCTAACCTCCAATTCACAAAGACCGAATGTTGAGTTGATCACCAATGACCTACAATTTAATCAATCATGCCTATATAAGGAAGTCTCATAAAAATTCATATGAAGAGGATTAGAAAGCTTCCAGATGACTGGACATGTCTAGGTTTCTGGAGGGTAGCCAGAACCTCTACCACACTCCCTATATGTCTAGTTCTGTGCATCTCTTCTGTCTACAGTTTATCTGTATCCTTTGTAATGTACTTTATAGCAAATGGGTAAACATAAGTAATGTATTTGCCTGAATTCTGGAAGCCAATCTAGCAAATAAATTGAATCCAAGGAGGGGCTTGTGGGGGCCTTTCAATCAGAAACAGCACAACTTGTGCTCCTGACTTGCATCTGAAATGGAGGCAGCCTTTCAGGGGGAAGTCTTTTTCCTGTGGGATCTGATACTCTCTCCAGCAGAAAGTGTCAGAATTGAATTGAATTAGAAGGTAGCCAGCTGGCATTCACTGGATAATCTGCTAAAGAATCTGCTCAAGAATTGATTGATTGGTGGTGAGAAGAAATCCCTGCACATTTTGGTGATCAGACTTCACAGAAATGTTCCGTGTTGTACTGACAGTAGAGACCAAAAAACAAACAAACAAACAAAAAAACATTCTTAGTACCCCCTATACTCACTCATATCCTCAGACAGGGCTTGGAGATGAGGACAGACAGAAATAGAGCTGATAGGAGCAATCTTGATCCTACCTCTGAAACTGTACCAGGTTCACAGCACAGGGAGTGTCTGGTCACTGCACCAATTTCCAGGATGAACCTGATGAAATGTAAAGCATGCATGTGGTGAAGGCTAACCCCTAATAAGTGCCTTTCAGTGCGTACTGGTGAGTAAATGCTGAGTACTAAATGGAGAATGAAATGATCACATCCAAGTTTAGAAAGATCATAATGGAGTCCATCTGGATGTATATATGGTAAGACAAGAGGCAAGATGTGTGACTGAGGAACTGCTAAGCCCTGAAAATTTGGTTTCCCCTTCCGTAGTGTAGACATGAGGCTGGGAAACATTTTCCAGTAGGTGATAACACTGCCCAGCTCTCTCCAAGTGGAGCTATGGGACTAGTTTTGGCTAAAGGACTGTAAGTAAAAGTGTGAAGGTCACTCAGGGTCAAGTGTCCAGAGAAGAGAAAAAGCAGAAAAAATTTTAAACAGAAGGGATGATACATACATGTTTCATGATGTTTTCCCTTCCACAGCAACCCCGAAGTCCTCATGTAAAAGATGGTTGTGTGTCAGGATAAAATAAATCTGTATCCTGAGTCAGAGAAGAAGTACCCAGACCCAATCAAGGATACCTACATCAAACTTTTTATGAGGAAAAAATGAAAATTTATAAATATATTAAGTTTCATAGATCTAAATATTATTAGAACTGCTATATTTCCTACTATAGAAGGAAAATTAGGAAATTTTGCAATATTTGAAGGAAGAGAGAAACATTTTATGTTATACACTGAAGTATAGGAGCCTATATTAGTCAGGCTTATTAATCAGGCAGGGGGTTAGGAGTGTGGACTAAGAGGAAGGAGAGAGAGAGAGAGAGAGAAAGAGAGAGAGAGAACATGATTATTAAAGGAATTGGCTTGTGTGATTATATTGACTGTACAGTCCCCTGATAGGACACCTGCAAGCTGGAGACCCAGGGTGACGGTGGCATGGCTCAATACAAATTGGAAAGCCCCAGAAATGGGGGTGCTGACAGTTTAGTCCTTAGTCTCAGGTGGAAAGCCTGAGAATGCAGGCAGGAAATGGGGAGGATGGAGTGGAGGACAGTAGTGCAAGTCTCAGAGTCCAAAGGCCAGAGATCCTGGAGTTTTGATGTCCAAGGGCAGGAGAAGGACAACATCCCCACTCAATTACAGTCCATTCATCCAGATCCTCAGCCAGTAGGATAATACCTGCCCATGTTAAGGGGGGGTCTCTTCCTCACTGAGTCTACCAATTCATATGCCAATCTCCACTAGAAATACTCTCATAGACAACATCCAAAAATCAAACTCTGTCAGCTATCTAGACATTCCTTAACTTAGTCAAGTTGATACTTAAAATAACCATCACAGAGTCCTTGGAGGAGATCAGTGGGAGATGGAATATAGAGATAAAAACTTGAGAATACTAACAGAAGGCAGAAGGAAATGGGATCCAGAGGATAGGAAGCAAGAGCTCTTCAAATAGAGGAGAGAAAAAGGGGAAAAAATTTTAAACGGAAGGGATGATACATAGATATGAAACATCTGTAAGTGACCAGTAAGAAGCTGACTACTACCTACATTTTCTCTGAGAAGTAGGTAATAAAGACATTTTCTGAGAAAATAAGAGGATGGTATTGAGAGAATTGCAGAATAAGGTAAATGTTAAGAGTAATTTTATGAAAAAATTGAGAAGAAATACTTCACAAATGGAACATCCCAGGCCCATATGGCTAAATGAATTATGGATTGAATTATATCCCTGGAAGACACGTGTAGGTTCAAAACTCTACACCTAAGAATAAGGTTTTTGTTGTTGTTGTTGTTTTGTTTTTACAAATGGCATTATTGTAGTGTTATTATGTAAGATAAAGTCATAAGGGGCTAGGACTAAAGGCATAAGGGGCTCACAGTTCAGTCTGGCTTGCATCCTTATAAGAGCAGGGTGGACTCTTGGTTCAGTGTGGCTTGCTTCCTTATAAGGAGAGTAGGGCAAGTTTTGATTCAGTGTGACATATGTTGTTCTCTATCTTCTCTTCTGTTCAGTTTATGTTTTTGGTGAAATATTTTTATTCATATATTTCTCACTTTGGGTACGTCCTATAGGCATTTCTTTGTGGTTCCTATTGGGGGTTCCATTTAACAGGAGAAAGGGACATCATCCTGACGCAAATTTGCAGCAGAAAAACTTCAGTAGTGCAGAGATTGCTGGTGCTATGCATCTCCATCCCCACCCCTCAACTGCTGATGTCACAATGTTACATGTGTAGGCACTGTGTGTTTAATACCATAGAATACAGTTGGGGATTTCTGCTACATTATTCTCTTACATTTTGTAGAACAGAAAAGTGGCACTAGCTTTTATAATTGTCAAAAATCATTTTACTAGAGATCTTTCTTTCTGCCTTCATGGAGATCTGAGTTCCTAATCCAGTGTCCTTTGGGTCAACCTAAAGGACTCCTCTCAGATAGGGCACATCTGGTGGGATCAGCGCCCTGGGCTCTTGTTTGTCGGGAACTGTGGTTGGAATGTGTTTCTCCAAAGTTCCTGTTGACGCTTCAGGTTCAAATATGACAGCACTGAGAGGTGGGCCTTGAGGAGGTGGTTAGGCCATGAGGCTCCAACCCCAGGGATTGGATGTGTACCTTAAAAGTGCTTCTCCAGCATGTACAAAAACCTGGTTCCCTTCTCAGAGCTCAACACCTATGCACACACACGTGCATATACATGTGCACACACACATATGCACACACATGCAAAAGTACATTTGTCAACCTGGTAACAATGGCACATGGTGGTGTTTTAGTTTTTTCGTCACTGTGACCAAGACACCAAAGAAGAACAACTTAGAGGAGAAGAAAATTGCCTGGGGGTGGGGGGTCACAGTTTCAGAGGTCTCAGTCCACAGATGATGTATTCCATTGCTCTGGGCCCAAGGTGAGGCAGCCCATCCTGGGAGAAGGGCCCAGCAAAAGAAAGCTGCTCACCTCAAGGCAACAAAGAGGCAGAGACAGGGACAGAAAGAGGGTGGGGGAATAATCGCAGGGATATAGCACACTTACAGGACATGAACACCGTGACCCCCAGCCATGCCCCACCTGCCTACAGTTACCAGGCAGTCAGTCCAATCAACCTAGGATGGACTAATATGGTTTCAGCTCTCACAATCCAATCATTTCACACATGGATATACCTGAACTCGGGAATTTATGTAAAAAACACCTCATATTCAAACTGACAGGTTGTAATCCTTTCTATGGGAAAAACTAAGGCAGGAGGATCACAATGACCCACCTCTCCCTTGATTCCACAGAACAGAGTCTCCAATGCCTTGACACATGTGTCTTCTCCAACAGCTGCCACCCACCCTCTCCACACACCTCAGAGAGGGACCTGATGCTCTCAAGAGGGATTCTTCACAGCCAAAGCAATCATCTCAAACAGACTTAAGGCAAGAGAGTCCCCATCTACACTGGCTCAAGGTGTTTGAGTCCCATTGTAGATGGGCTCAAGGGACAGGAGTCTCTTTGCACTGAAGAGGAGAGGGAGGCACCTCAGTCCAGGCCTTGGGCAGCATGATGGCTGCTGGATTCCTGCCCTTGCCCTGAGGCCTCCCTCTTTTTCTCTTCCTCCTCCTACTTTAAACATGTTTACTTTTTAAATAAATCATTGGAACGTCAATCTTAATCATAGGAATTAATTAAGAACCATCTCTGCTATGGCAGAGAAGAGCAGGGCAGGGGGAAGAGTCTCTGATGTCTCTGGCAGGTGGAGGCAGAGGAGAGTCCTGGTGGATCGAGATGCGTTCCTTGTTGGAATCTGCACCGAGAAGCCCGAGCCAGTTGGCGACCTCACTTCTGAAGCTGTTGGAGTCCGCTTCCTGACCATTGCTGGCGCCATGAGATCCAGATGCTCCGAGCTCAGGTCTTCTGGCTGTCCATGGGTCTGTCTCACGTGGGCATGTTCCCTGGAGCCACTCTGTTACGGAACCTATGGGGTTTGTGGCCTCTGTCCATCGACCATCGGAGCAACTCTGTTGTGGAACCTGTGGGGTCTGTGGCCCACACCCCTCGGAACCACTCTGTTGCGGAAGGTGGACCCCCAGAAGCACAGTTGCAGGCAGGTGGCCATCCGCCTGGTGACCCCCCTCCAGCCCCTGCTTCTCTCACCGGGCTGCCCTGTGGAGCCACCCTGGGAGGCCAGAGGGTCCCGTTGGGAGACTGGCTTGGAAGGGGGTGTCTTCACGTGAAGAAGGTGGAGAGGACAGACAGGCATGCTGGCACATGCGGTGCCCTTCTGCGCGGAGGGCGTGGCTTTGTCAGGCGGCGGCTGCTCACAGGGCAAGGCAAGGGCAGGCTCACTGGGGCACTTGTTGGGGCAGATGCTAGAAGGATCCGCCCCAGGGACCTGGTGATGCCCAGCCATCCCATTATGCACAGCCTTGGCCCAGAGCACACTGGCCGGCCCCTGGATTCTCTTGTGCTGGAGGAGGAGGTAGGTAGCCATGGCCCCATCGAATTGACGATTTTCCAGGGAAAACCAGGCTTTGTACGGGTTGTAACCCATGTCGAGCATCAAGGTCATGATGTTGGGGTTGGGCCGCTTGGGGAGTGGCTGGCTGAGAGGGCTGGGAGGGCTGGGTGAGGAGTCCTTGCCCTGGCTCAGCCACGGTTGCCCCATTACCTGCTCTAGGGTGGGCCTCTCCGTGGGGTCCTCCATTAGAATTTGCTGGATGAGGCTGCGCCGCTCCCTCAGACACGGGGAGATGTTGTACCTTGCCCTCAAGATCTGATGCTCCAACCCCTTATTGGTGAGCTCCCTGAATGGCTTTTTCCCTGTCAACATAAAATAAAGAGTGACTCCCAGGCTCCAGACATCTGCTGGGATACCCTCGAATTCCTTCCCCTGGATGATTTCAGGGGCACAGTATGGCAGAGTGCCCCTGAACCCATCCAGCTTCTGCCCAGGCATGAAGCTGGTGCTCAGGCCAAAGTCGATGAGCTTGGGGTGGCGCACCCTGGAATCCACCACAAAGTTCTCAGGTTTCAAGTCGAGGTGCACCATGCCCTTCTGGTTGCAATACTGCACAACGCACACCATCTCTCTGAACAGCCTGTGGACCTTCACCTCCCTTATGCCACAAGTCAGGGGGATGTGACTCAGGAGCTCTCCTCCATGTGCACGCTCCATGACGAGGTATATGTTGTCCATGGTCTCCGTGACCTGGAAGAGCTGGATCACGCTTCGGTGTTCCAGGACCTTCAATGAATCCCTTTCACTTAGCAGGGTTCCTCCTTCTTCCTCAGAACTTTAACAGCCACCTTGACCCCAGTCAGGAGATGGCAGGCTAGTACCACCTTCCCAAAGCTCCCCTCCCCAATGGCCCTCAAGACCTGATAATGGTCTGTGAGGGCCTTCTCATAGCAGGAGCTGCATCCCTGCACCACTACACTACTCTCTCTATGCTCTCTGAGCATCTCTAAGCTGGAACACCAACTAAGGATGCTAACTAAAAAAAAAAAAATAACAAACCCCAACAAAACACCAAAAATAGCAACCAAAAGCAAAACATAAAACAAACAAACAAAAAACCCAAATCAAAAAACCAACAGCAAACCACCACAAACACCAAACACCAACCACCAACCACCAAACGCACTAACTAGCTGGGAGTCCAACAGGTCACCACTAAGAGCTTCCTGTACTTATGGACAAAAACCCACTCACGGCCACTTTCTTTTTTTCTTTTTTTTTTTTTTTTTGAGAGAGAGAGAGAATTTTAATATTTATTGTTTAGTTTTTGGCGGACACAACATCTTTGTTTGTATGTGGTGCTGAGGATAGAACCCGGGCCGCACGCATGCCAGGCAAGCGCGCTACCCCAGCCCACGGCCACTTTCTTATACACCCCGTGTTTGACATTCCCTCACAGTGGCTCCTTAGAGGTCAGAGCATATCCCCCAGGAGTCATCTTACTTGGGGCATCTAGGACCTTTTTGACTTTCATGAGGAGAAAAAGAAAGAACCCTAGAAGATTTTTGTTTCCGTGGGTTATGGAGACTGATATTTACCTGTTTAGACATGAAAACCAGAATGATGCCTCAACGGTCTATTCACCTGGATCTGAAAACCCATAATAAAATTTCAGCTTTTAAAGACCTCATCATATCTACACTCAAAAGTATTTAATTCACCTTTCTTCCAACCCACAATGATTAGGATCCAAGGGATGGGAGTGCTTCACTCACATCGTGATGCTATAACAAAACACTCTGCTCCCTAAGATGCTCTAGAACTAGGCATTAACATCTATGAGGTTGAGAGGGAGGGAGCGTCCATCATCATTTCCCCACAAGGTTCTCATCACATTTCTCACTAGAATCTCCTGGAACACAGCAGGTTGTGGGTTGGTATGGTCAAAGTGATGAGAAATCAAATACAGAAGCCGACAATCCTAGAACCAGCAAGTGTCCTTCCCATTGGGCGAAGAAATGGAGGCATTCCCACACTCCTGGGTCCCTTTTGGCTGCTGTTAACAAAACCCCTTAGACTAGATTATTAGCAATAGAAATCCACTTCCCACCACTCTGGAGACTGGCAAGTCCAAGGTCAGGTGCCTTGTTGCTGTATCCTCACATGATGGGAGGGGCAGACATGCTGACCACATTCTCTCAAGTCCTGCTTTCTGTTTGTTTTGTGTTTTGTGTTCTTTGGACATACTTGCCATTTAACCCAGGGCCTCGGGCATGTCAGGAAAGTGCTCTACAGATGAAGTATTTCCCTAGTCCCCCAACTTTCCTGGTGGGTTTTTTTTTTATGTTATTGGTTTTATTTTATTTATTTATTTTTTGGAAGACAGTGTCTCACTAATTTGTATCTGCATTCCTCAGGTTGGGCTTCAATGTGTGTTCCTCCTGCCTCGGTGTCCTGAGTTGAGAGCATTACAGCCTATTATGGTTCGGGTGTGAGGTGTCCCCTGCACAGGCTCCTGTGCTAGTGCAGGAATATTCAGAGGTGAAAAAGTGGGACTGGGAGAGCTGTAACTTTATCAGTCCCTCCTACATAGAAAGGACTGGCTGGTCACTGTAGGCAGGTGGGGCATGGCTGGAGGAGGTAGGTCACTGGAGCCATGCCCTGGGCCTGTGACTCCCTGTGACTCCTACCCCACCCTCTTTCTGTCTCTGCCCCTTTGGTGCCCTCAGGTGAGCCTGTCTTCCCTGATGGGCTGCCTCACCTTGGGCTCAGAACAATGGAGCTGGCCATGTGTGCTCTCAGACCTCTGACCCATGATCCCCAGGTACACTTTTCCTCCTCTATGTTGTTCTTGTCGGGTGTCTTGGCCACAGCAATGGAAAAGCTCATTAAAACACCGCTATATGCCACTGCTCCCAGCTTGTCTGTGTGTGTGTGTGTGTGTGTGTGTGTGTGTGTTGGGGGTGTGCTTGGAAGTGAACCAGGTCCTTGCGCATGCTGGAGAAGCACTCTTAAGGTACACATCCCATCCTATGGGTGGAGCCCATGGCCTAACCGCCTCCTCCAGGCCCACCTCTCAATGCTGTCATGTTGAGGCTGAAGGGTCAACAGGAATTTTGGACAGACACACACATTCCAACCACAGCACCAGACAGACAAGAGCCCAGGGAGTTGGTCCCCACCAGATGTCCCCTGTCAGAGGGGAGTCTTTCAGGTTGACCCGAAGGACACCAGATTAAAAACTCAGATCTCCATGAAGGCAGAAACATCTCTGGTAAAGCAAATTCATGACAATTAAAACTAGGGCCACTTTTGTTTTCTACAAGATGTAAGAGGTTCATGTAGCAGAAAACGCCAACTGTGTTCTGTGGTACTGAACACACAGTGTCTACACAGGTAACCACTGTGACATCAGCAGCTGAAGGTGTGGGATGGAGAGGCACAGCAGCAGCAGTCTCTACACTACTGAATTTGCCCTGCTGCAGATTCACACCAGGGTCATGTCCCTTTCTCATGTTAAATGGAACCACAAAGAAAGGGAGCTACAGAGAAATACCTAGAGGAAAGACCCCAGTGAGAGGTGCAAATACTAAAATGTTTCACCACAAACATCAACTAAACAGGAGAGAAGATGATCACGGAAGGGCTTAAGTCATACTGAATCAAAACTTGCCCTGCTCTCAGTGTGGAAGCAGGCCACACCGAATCAAGAATCCACCCTGCTCTCCTTGTAAGGACACAAGCCAGGATGAAGCAAGAGAGTACCCTAGCCCCCTATGACCCCATCATAAGTAACTACATCATAATAATGCCACTTCTGAAAAAAAGACCTCATCCTTAGGTGTGGAGTTTTGAACCTACGCATGTCTTTGGGGGATATGATTTATTCCATAACATGCCCTGGTCCTACCTGTCTGAGAGTTCTTATCAATGGGGGTTGAATTTTGCTGTATCATTATTCTACATCAATCTATACCATCATATGTCTTCCTCGGCTTGTCCATAAAGTGCCTTGTGTAGGGACATGTGTATCTACATTCACGATGAAATTGAGTAGGTAAATTTTGGTTTCTTTCATAGTTTTATTCTGGCACCGCCATTTCTGGTTTCGTGGCCAGGTAATACCAGCTTCATGAAATACTTCGTGAATTGTCCCCTCTGCTTCTGTTTCCTGGAAATGTTCATATACAGTTCGTATTAACCCTTCTTCAAAGGTGTGGTAGAATTCTCAGTGATGTCATCTACACCTGAAGATCTTTGTGGAGCTTTTCCTATTAGGAACTCCATTTCCCTGATGGTCACCCAACCATCTAAATGTTCCTGTGGTAGCTCCTGCTTCTCCAGAAAACTTCTACTTCGTCTACATTATACGGGTCGTACAGTGTCATTTAAGTTAGTCTTCATGTTTATTTTTTCCTTGTGCTGGTTTTGCGTTTATTTTCATCACCTTTTTCTGTTTCTGAAAATGGTCATTTAGTTATTTTTATTAAATTATTTATTTATTCTAATTTGTTATGCACAATGGCAGAATGCAATTCATTTCATATTACACAGAGCACAATTTTTTAAGTCACTGATTGTACACAAAGTATTTTCACACCATTCATATCTTTATACATGTACTTAGGGTAATATGTCTAACTCATTCTACCATCATTCCTACCCTCTTGCCCCCTCCCTTCTCTACCCTCCCCTTTGCCCTATCTAAATTTCCTCCATTCCTCCCAAATTCCACCCCCACCCCCATTGAAATTATGAGTCAGCATTCTCATATCAAAGAAAACATTAGGCCTTTGGTTTTGGGGGATTGGCTTACTTCACTTATAATTATATTCTCCAGCTCCATCCATTTTCCTGCAAATGCCATGATTTTATTCTCTTGTAATGCTGAGTAAAGTTCCATTGTGTATATATACCAAAGTTTCCCTATCCATTCATCTACTGAAGGGCATCTGGGTTAGTTCCATAATTTAGCTATTCTGAATTACGCTGTTATAAACATTGTTATGGCTCTGTCCCTGAAGTTTGCTGTTTTTAAGTCCTTTGGGTATAAACCGAGGAGTGGGATAGCTGGGTCAACTGGTGGTTCTTTCCAAGTTTTCCAAGGAATATCCATACTGCTTTCCAGATTGGCTGCATCAATTTGCAGTCCCACCAGCAATATATGAGTGTGCCTTTTTCCCCACATCCTCGCCAATACTTATTATTGTTTTGATTTGCATTTCTCTATTTGCTAGAGATGTTGAACATTTTTTCATGTTTGTTGATTGATTGTATATCCTCTTCTGAGAAGTGTCTGCTTAGTTCCTTGACCCATTTATTGATTTTTTTTTTTTTTTTGGTGTTAAGGTTTTTGAGTGCTTTATATATCCTAGAGATTAGTGCTCTATCTGATGTGCTTCTGGTAAAGATTTGCTCCCATTCTTTAGGCTCTCTATTCACCTCACTGATTGTTTCTTTTGCTGAGAAGAAGTTTTTTAATCCATCCCATTTATTGATTCGATTTGAGAATTTCTACTTACCTAATGTAAGCATATGGTGCTGTGAATCTCTCTCTAAACAATGCTTTCATTACATGCACATTTTAATTTGTTTGGTTTCAGATATTTTCTGAATATTTCCTTTTAATAGTCAAAACGTATCTTAAAGAGCTTTTTAAAAAAGCCTCTTCTATTTACCCATATAATTGTTATCTGTTTTTGTTTTTGTTTTTTTTTTCTCCTTATCCCTGATGCCCA